CAGACGAAATATGTGCATTCGAGGCAGCCTTCAGCTTCCACATCAATACAGTAATCACTGGAACAGAAGCACCATTATGAGGGGTTTATGGGAAATTAGGCTTTAATTTGCTTTCAAAATGACACAAAGCACATTCTCCCTCTGACAATATATTAGCACAACCCCACAGAGGTCTTTGGGGACACTAAAATAGTTCTGACTTGTTTTGAGATTCAGACTGAAGAGGGTCTTTTTTCTACAGAGGCTATTCAAAGGACACTCACTCGAGGGTCAGCTTCTCTGGTGCATTTGTCAAATATGATACGCAATGTTTGTCAGTTAAAATGAAACCAAGGCATTTTGTGACAAACTGAAATAATGCTGTAATGTGGACTGAGAGTGACGAAAATATCGCAGCTTAACTTTTAACACTGTCAATCATTGTATTTTTCCTTGAATACCCTTGAGAGCAAAATGGTTAGAAGCATTTAAGGCTTTATCTCCACCACCTTGACAAAATGATTGAAATGTGGTGTCATAGAAAAAAGATAACATCTGAGACTCGGCTGCACGGAGACTCGGCACCCTTAACGGGTTTTTCTTCCAAACAAACAACACTCGACGCCCCCTTCTCTGTGTCTGTGTCTCCGCCTCCCTCGCACAGACAGGCACAAATAGAGAAACAGTTTCGCTATAACGAGCTCATTCATTTTCATTCTTTATTATGGCTCGTACGCCATACGATAACTTCAGGGGAGTCTTATTTGCAAGATCGTGAAATGGATTGTTGCTGCTCCTCAACTCTGCACTTTCCAGCGCAGATGTCTCAGAGCTAAGTGACAAATTCATCAGCATCTTCAAAACAAAACACTCACCCAATTAGCGGCAATAATTGAAACTCAATTCCGCTTCCCAATCAAATGCTCAAAGCTAATTTCCCTCAGATATTTATGGTATTCCAGTTATTATCAGCTGATGCGTGCGCTTGTGGGGCGAGGTTAACACTGAATCTCAAAATTGTGCACCACAAGTTACCATAAAGACATTATGCACAATAAAAGCTGTTGTCTTTGGCGAACAGCGTTACAACAGCGTATGAATGCATGTCTGTTTTTGTGTTAAGGTGTTTGCTGACGCCTTCACTCACTCGTCTCCTTGGGAAAGCAGCGGCGCTGTATTTGACTAGGCCTGACCTTCCAGTGGAACAAAAACACTATTGATCTGCCATCCACAGAGTCTATTACAGTCGCTAACGTGTTTGTTTTTAAATGTCCTTAGAGTAAGTGGTGAAGCTGATGTGCTATCATTTCTAAAATATAAATAAATAAATTTCTTTGCCCTTGTCACATCTACAGTGTTCTACAAAGACAGAAAGCTCTGCCAAAGCAATGAATTGAGAGGGGTGTGTATATGTGAAAGGAACCTGCGACAGAGGTAAATCCCTATCTTATAAAATTTATTTCCATCCCAGTTTGCATATTAGGTGTGTTTTAACAGTCGGGTACAGGAGTGGATAAGTCATTTTCCCAGGGGGCCACATGAGAACCTGGGACTGTTGTGGATGGTACGGCCTTCTACAACAGTCCCAGTTTCTCAAGCAGCCCCTTAAGACAATTAATTGCCCAGCCTCGGTCAGGTAGCTTGTTGTAGGTAGGCAATATTTATAAGCATGGCTTAGGGTTGCTTAAGCATTCTCTCTCAGTAGATCTATTGAAGCTTTCTGATTGAAGTAAAGGGCAAATCAATATAGTTTTCATATACAGAATTTTCTTGATTTTCCTGATTGGAAATTTCAAAAACGTAACTGATTTTGCTATGTGGTCCACAGCTCTTCCAAAACAGTGCCCTCAACATCAGCGAGCGAAACGCATGCTTTGTTGTATCTGAAAGCTCCATTTGTTTGATTTTTACCCCCAAACATCATTGTGACAGACAGATTACCTTAGGCAACAATAGGGATGGGTATTGATAAGATTTTCACGATTC